TATTATTATTATTATTATTATTATTATTATTATTATTATTATTATTATTTGACCCTGTTTCCTTGCAAAGATCCCCAAAGAAAACAGTTATAAGCCAAGAATAAGGAACAGTAATTAAAATTAGAAATAAAGGACTATGAAGTCAAGAGGAGAACAAACATAGAAAAGCAAGAGGAACTTCAGTCCTGGATTTAGATCAAAAGTGATGTGCTTAGGTATCAACAACACCTCACCTACCAGCTTGTTCTGGCTGATATAACCATGATGCCTTAAAAAAGATGAAGTTCACATATATCCTAGCTGAAGATATTGCTGAGTCCTTTCATCTGAGAGAGAAGTTATGACACATCAAAAAGCAAGGTAAGGATTCCCTCAATTAGAGTTGGATTCTTGATGACTACACTATATGGTAGACATTTACTATAATGGCAACCTATCCAGAAATGGTTTCCCACTGTCATCTCTGGAAAAGTTTCTAGTGAAGCTTACAGTCTTGATTTTTGGTGGTCTCCTGCACAGGGATTTTATTAAATTGAGATTGACTTAGTTTCCATCTGATATCAAAAGCAGATATCATCATGGATTTACTAAAGCATTACTGTCAATTACCTTTGAATTTTCAGTTGTAACTCAATATTTACTGTAGTACCAGATAAAAGATGTTAAATCTTTTACATTGCAGTGCATAAGCAGCAAATGCAGCAGATGCAGCAAAATAGCCAATACAGCAGAGACCAACATATGAAATACTTCAGCCACACAAGCTAGATGGATTTAATGGCTTTGTTTTACACAAATAAATTATATAAAAAGTTGCAAGAAAAACTCAAGGGATGAGGAAATAACCTATCAATCCATAGGCTCATTATAAGATTTTTTTGTGGGGTGGGGTATGTGTGCGCATATGGGAGGAGGGCACTAACCAGCCAGGGAAATTACAGAACAAGAGGAACAGAAATCCAGTATGTTTATTTGTATTTAATTTTCTTGTTTCTTAGTAAGTTTTTTTTTTCTTCTGCTTTTATTCACATGCATGCACAAAAGCTAGAGCCTTGCTTTTTTAAAATGAAGAGTGAAAACTCAGAAGCCCCTTCCACAATCCCTTTGACCCTGCATTAGACTTGACAGGCACCATCTAGAGAGATTCACCTCTGATTAAGTGGAAAGGGCTATTTTGTTACTCAGTTTTATTCCAAACTTTCCCACATTACTGAAACTTGGGTATCTATACATTTCCTCTGTGCAGCAGACTTCTAGCTGAGATCCAGTTTTATATTTTTTCATTCAACCACATATTTTGCTTCTTTACATAATGTGGCCAATTCATTTCAAAAGCTTGAGATACATTTGATTTGTAACTGGTTTATTTATGATTTTATGATTCTGTAAGTGTGGGCTCTCAAATTCTAAGTTCCCACAGAACTGCAAACCTTCTCTTTCCCTTCATTTTATATAGAAGTAGTGAAGAATCACACAATAAAATGTATGCATTTATCTGATAATTAAGAATAATGGCAGGTACACTATCAAATGATACACAAAGATTATAATACCTTTTTGAATTCACCAGTATGTTTATATTCACATAACATCATGTCAAAGAATATTGGGATGGTGGCTTTCCGTAGCTCAGCTTCAGGGATAAGGGTCATTTCTAAGATTGGTCCAACCATTCCTGGAATAAAGCGAATTTTATTCTGTCCTGGAACAATGTGCAGAAGAGAACATTAACAATATCAGCCAATGGTACACCATTATTTCAATAACATTATAACATATCTATTCAATGATTTTGTAACTTTCCTTCTGGATTTTAGAGAGAATATTTTTAAAAGATTGCTGATACAACATTTGTAGGTGAAAAACAAACTATTTACAAAACAGCAACAAATGTCAAAATTGTCTCACATCAATTTTGTAGCTCTTGTATCTTCTATAAGTTACTAAAATATTTGTGATGATTTCCAGTATGGGAGAAGCAATGACTAGGAGATAAACATGTAATGCAGAATGGAATAATACTAGTTACTGCTAATAGCAAATCAGTTTTTGGTTCTTTTGCTAGTTACAATTTGATTCTCTGTCTCCAGCTTCACTTAGTTATTCTACTATGGGTAAATGAATAAATTGCAACCAGGATGTTTTCATCTCAATCATTCAACCATAAGCTACAACCCCACATCTTCATGAGAAAGGGCTCTTTTGTACATGACACAATTTGAATAATGAGAGAGAGAGAGAGAGAGAGAGAGAGAGAGAGAGAGAGAGAGATGATAGATATCAATCTTTCACAACTTGGTGCTTTGATATGATTTTTTTCTGACAGCTGCATTCCCAAGATATCTGAAGGGCACTAAGTTGGGGAAAGCTGCTGTATGGCATGCAAGTAAAATGTCCTCTCTATGGCAGTATTGCATTATTTTTGCAAAACCTTAAACCTCCATTGCTGTTGCAGTCCATGAACAATTCAAGATTGCAATATTATGTGTCTGTTTAATATTACATATAAAGTATATTGTACTGCATATAAGATAATCCATATGAGTTGGCAGACTTCTCTTAATTGTTAGCATTCCAAACATTTAATCGCTGAATGTTCTTGGAAGAGAAACTAATTCTATTTCCTCATCCCTTCCCATCAAAACCAATCTATCAGAGAAAACATTACACTAGCCTCTGACGTGTTCTCTTGTCTCTGTCACAATGGACAAAACACATCTGCTTTCATTCCTGGATGAATAATGTCAACCATTAGAAAGCTCAGAATAGAAACAATGTCCTGGTAACTCTATTATAGATTGGCTGCACAGTGACTTAAAGCCACATGAAATAGAGAGCCATAGGCGTCTGCCTTAGGAAGCATTTGCAATTATGACAGATGATGAAAAAAGGAGAAACAAGCTTGTAAATGTCACCTCTAACAAGAAAACCAGACTTCGAATATGCAGCAGCAGGTATAGGTTTGATTTGCTGCATTACAGTGTGGACAAGGCACCTCGTCCAACAAGCAACAAATTGCATGGTGGTAAACATTACACCTACTTTGCAAAGTCTAATTTCCCAATTTGACAGGCATCATCTAGAGATATTCACCTTTGATTAAGTGGAAAGGGTAGTTGGTAATTTTGTCCCTCAATTTTATTCCAAACTTTCCCACATTACTAAAGCTTGGGAATCTATACTTTTCTAGTTGCAGAACAACAGACGAAGAGACAGCTTGGCTGTGCAGATCCCTGCCACTAAACTCCTGATCTTTCAAAAAACCTCTATTTACTTGGCTGTGTGACATTCAGAAAATTGATGGATGCTTCAAAATGATGTTAAGTACAGCTTTCAGGACCTTCCTTCCTTCCTTCCTTCCTTCCTTCCTTCCTTCCTTCCTTCCTTCCTTCCTTCCTTCCTTCCTTCCTTCCTTCCTTCCCAAGAGATTTACAAGCATCATAAAACTTAAAACAATTGAGTAAGGGTAATGTTAATCTACTGTTACATACTTAAATATCTTATATCATTTTAAAACTACAGGTCATTGTTAAAATCAAATTAGTATGCAAGTATCAATAACAGTGATCAGCACAATATGAATCATAAATTAAAGTGAAAAATTACAGTAATTTCCACCTACTAAATAAGAAATCTATCCTTGAGGTATGAGGACAAATTAACAGCTATAACTCTCTAGCCTGAAAGTAGAAAGAAATAAGAAAAAAAGACATACCATTCATGCCATGTAAATCTATCCTTATTTCGCACATGATACAAGGCTTACATGTTAAAGTGTTACATTAAGATAAATTTCAGCTGCAGTACAAGCCCTTGTGTAGAATTATAATCCTAAAAAATTTGCATGACAAATTAAACTCGGTATCAGATTTCTTTTTTCAAATATGAGATTATAACTTCTCCAATGAGAAGAATTCAGTATCCTCATAACTATTACCATGTTAGTTAACTCAGGGTACTTTGTTGGAATATGTTTAGTAATACTAATAGAAGTTAATAGAAAGATGGCAGGTTGGGAAGGAAAGCCAACTTTTAGAATTTGTCTTATTCCATTATAAATCATTTTCCAAAATTGTTGAGCATTACAACATTGCCACCAAACATGAAAAAAATGATCTGAACTGATACAGCTAGGCATTATGATCATTACATTTCCATCAGTTGTTAGAAAATAAATTATCGGTTTTAGAAATCAATATTGGAGTAATATAACTTTGGTAAAGCTAACCTCTAAATGTGATATTCACTGTAAATTTAATATTTTTCTTCCTTTGCAATTCCCACTATTGCATATAATTTATTCTGTCTAAATTTTGGATCTAGTTGTCTACGAATCATTTTAATCTCTTGTTCTAACTGAGCTATTTCATTCTTGCTGGATTACAAGATAGAATGGCTAACCCTATGTGGACTGGAAATTCAGGAGTTGTAGTCTCCATTTGTCTATAATCCTAAAGACCACTTCTCAACTTTTTAATTTAAGAAAAAAATTCAATTTCTTAAAATTCTCTGATGAATTATAATTGTTCAATGTGGTGGTTAGATGAATAGTGAAAGAAAGAAAAACAAATACTTTTTTTCAGGAGAAAACCTGTATAACATCATTGAACATGGTATTGTCTGTTTATAATCAAAGGGCTTTTTTTCCAAGTTACATTTAGTAATTTTAAATATGTGTGGCTGTAACAGAAGTTCCATCTTTTTCTGTATCAATCCGATATTAAGCAGCTGCTTTCATTGCTTTTGCTGTGTTTTTCTAATCTCAAGAGAAAATGTTAGTGCAATACAGTGTTGGATATAATGATAGTTGTATCCAAATATCTTTTGCATTACTATGCTGAAATAAAAACATAGTCTCATGCAGCTATGCCTGTTCTGAAGTAACAACCACAGATAGCAATAAAAAATATAATTCATGCTGATATATTGAAACCTAAATAAATGGATTCTCCCTTTGCATGGAAGCAAACAGACACACTTGCTAAGTATGAGATAAACCCTGGTGGCTAGACATTCCATTTTCTTGCATAGGAGCTTCCGTTCAAGCTGCAAAACTGCCATGAATTACAATTATAGGATGGACCAGCTCCAATTTGATCCCTGCTGACTTGGCAGTAAGTTAATCAAGTCCAAGCTCAGCTTATTCAACTGTACTTCCTTGTCCCCTCCATACACATTATTTCCATAGGCTTGGACAGGTACTATGTATTTGCTTAGAAACTGGGAATCCCAAATGCTACTGAACAGAACACGTTGGTCATTTTGAATTGCATACATATAAATAAAGCAAAAAGTGCTGTTAATGCAATAAAAGTTATAAACGTTTCAATTGAAAGAACAGGAGTAGGAGCAGCTCTACATTTCTATAACCAAATCTAAAACATATACTCTTGTCTCTGAACAGGAGCTCATTTTCTAAACTGACACTCAAAAAAAAGGAGAACTTTCTCTAACACTGACATTCAGGGATGTTATTCCCTTTACCTGGAGTAATCCATGTTAATGGCAGCTTTCTATAACTGTTGAAGTTACTAGTCCTCAAGGTGATCACAATGCTTTTTGATATAAATGAAAGCTCTCCTCTTATTCCTCTTTGTACCCTGAAGATATTATTTTCATTTTGTCTCCTTGTTCCAGTTCTGTAAAAATACTGAGTAATGTTGCATGTGTACAAGTTTCTATGTTAGGCATGTTGCTATCTTCCAGGCATTCAGGCAAACAATACTTTGTAAATAAGGATGCAGGTATTTCATAAGACAAAATAAATATAATAAAAATTTTTTTAACCAAGTGGAATTTCTTATTAGAAACGATCCCCATTAGAACCCGAAGAGGCACATCTTTGCTTTCAAATACTCTAACTTACCAAGTTTGTACCACATGTCACGGATAGCAAAACCAATTAAACGTCTCATGTCTCCATATCTAAAAGAGAAAACAGAAGTCATTATCTTCATCCCAGCTTTCTTGTCTAAATGAGAAGCAAAAATCACTTTTAAATGATTAAAAACAAGACCTACTTGTTCAGGATCTTAATGCATTTACCATGGGAGAATTGCTCTAGCTGCAAGGTGTCCTGGGTGATAAAAGCCACCGCAAGATGAAAATAGTTGTTCCAGAGCTGTAAATTGAGCAGAAGACAGGACACTGAATTGTTGTAATGCATTTCCCTTGAAATGGAAGGTGGTATTAAGCTGTGTGAAACCTAAATAATTTATGAAGGCAGCCAGCAGAAAGGATTTAATATGATGCAAAGTTGTATGCTATGATTACATTGCAATTAGAATAAAAAGGCAAGAGTGTGGTTTTTATACCCGCTGGCCCGCATTCCCTGAGTAGCATCTGGAGATTCGCATGGGGTCCATTAGCTAATAAACAATAAACTACAAGTTACAGCATACCCTGAGAACTTCTGCATACACCAGGTTAATAACAATTCCCCATATCCAACCAAGGAGTGCAGATTTAAAGGATTATGGTATCATAAGTTAATAAATGCTATGGGGGGGGGCGGGAACCTTCTTACTTCAACAAAATTAAATTCTAAAAGATGCACATAAAATATGGTCAAAGATCATCTATTATTCTAAGCTCAAGAATTGTACTATGAGGCTATGAAGAGTTCTGGATTTTCATCAACTTCATTTTCATCATAACTAACTGATGACATTTTGACCGCATTCCATGATGATGAGAAACAGAAATACATAACTCCATGTTCTTGGAATATATTTTGTCCCTAGTTTACAAATATCAGTACAGCAGTATCTTTACAGCAAAATTGACCTATAGCAAAATTTGCATATAAAAACCTGCAACAGCATAATCAAAATGGTTCCTTGTTTTCCCATACAAGGAAGATATTCCCATCTGATAATATTTTTATAATAGTTCAGCAAAGTATAAAGTGTGGGTGATATTTATTTCCACATATTGCACCTCCATCAGTTGAAAGAGCTGATACTGTATATTCATATTAACTGTCTCTTAATAAACTTCAGAGAGGTATACTATAAAGAACACAGTCAAATGTATGACAACGTGAGGTACTAGACTTTGCTAAAACCCAAATCATTCTAACATTAGGGGTATGATAGGAGTCTTGGGGTATGAATTTTATGGCTGATGAACTTTTGTACAGCTACAGCTATTAGAGACCTGGAGGGTGGGGCCCAGTTCCATCATAGCCAATGGACTATACGGGGACCTGGAGATTGGACAGTTGTTGAAATAATGGTATTCTGCCTTATTTATGCTGCTCAAGCACTTCTAAAGACATATCATCCAGATGAACTTGGTCTGGTAGTAATATGGAGCTGTTTGGATCAGAAGTGGAAAAGGTGTTTGGAGAGAGTGTGTGTGCTCCTTCTGTACCTCCTTAAAAAACATCCTGTGCCTTTTTCTGGCCTTGCATAGTAGTTACGTAGTCTCGGAAAAAACATATGTTTGAATTAAGGAGGCACTGTATCCCAAGTTGCTTTGGAGCTGGGTGCTGCTAATAAATAAATAAATGAATAATGAATGAATGAATGAATGAATGAATGAATGAATGAATGAATGAATGAATGAATAAAACATCCATTATCCTGGGACTGTGGGGCAACCATGTGAGCCCAGGAAGAGTTGTCACTTCTTTAAGAAGATGTCAATAGGTATCAATGAGCATGTCAATATCCCCTGAATATTGAAAGACATGTTTTGCTTCAAACCCAAACAGCTGTGCATCCTTGCTGACCATGTACTTGTGCAGCCCTTTCAAAGAAATCTCCCTACTAGAAGGTGAACCTGTGTTGCTGATATTCTTCTAAGACTCCAAGGGAAATATCAATCTTGTGTAAGATCTGTATTCATTCTTCTATGAAGTCAATATTTCTCTCACCACAACTCTTCCCCTGAAGGCAATAGTTGCTGGGTGATGTTCAGCCAAAGGAAAAATGGCCACTGAGGGACAGAGCCCAGTAGATGGATGGAAGGGAACTGTCCTGAAATGGGCCAATTGGAACCCAGCAGGCCACCAATCTCTGAAGATCTCCTATTCTTGTTTCCTACATACACTGTATATCAACCACCAGAAGGAAGAGGATTACAGTCTGTGCCATTTGTTCTTTTCTCATTTATAAAATTAGCAAATTTACCTTCCTTGCAATATCTCACTTGCATTTACATCAGAAGTCAGTTATATCCACAGTGTAAACTGTCCCACATTCGTCCTCCAAACACCATTAATTAAATAAGTTTGCAGAAGGACCAAAACAGAAGCCATCTATCAAAAAGTAGGGTCACTTAATTTACTACTATAATTTGCTAGGATGAAAAATTAATCAATGTTACAGATTCAAATGCTTATAGAAGGCTAAGAGAATTGGGGACAAATGGATCTCTTATAACCCTAATATGTAAATTTACAGGAAGACCAGACAATTTCTGCGTCAACCATCTTCTAGAAGATTAAAAACCCATTATTACTTGTGCAATAGCCAAATGCTGTGTTGCCACGATGAAAATAAGCATAACTGGTCACAAAATAACCACTTCTGTTTTATTCATCACTTCAGATTTAATATGTAATTTAGATTTAGATTATAGTGTTTTAGGTGATATGTATGTTTACTCCATAGATTGTAATATTTTAGATTTACATTTGCACAGGTAATTAACACACTATTATAGTAGCGTATGTTACATTTTTATTTGTTATTTTATCTTTGTTATGCTAATATTTTGTTTCATCTATTTGATTTTACCTTTCTGTTCTATTTTTTTCAAATTTTGTTGGTCACTGACCAAATAAACAGTATTATGATTTTGTATAACCCAATGTACTACATGTATCTAATAGCACTGTTAAAAAGGCATCTATAAACAGTCCAAACCATCTCTTATATCATATATTCTATCATTTACAAAGACTGCATTTATCCTCAAAAAAATTGCCAGTGTGGGATGTTTAGAGAAGGAATGGGAAGCATCTCAAAGTTCATGTTGCTTCTAAGCTATTCAATAAAGTGGAACTTTCAGAAACTATTGAAATATTTCTTTCCCCTATAGAGATATTCAAGCCCTCATGTGCGAAAAAATGTGCCCAAACACACAAGGGGGAGCTGAAGGCAGGGACAGAGGAGGAAAAGATAGAGGGAGAAAGAGACATGGCCGCTCCTGCAAATTGATGTGTGAAGTTTTCCATTGCTACATGAGGAGAATAAATCTCACTTGATAGAATCCCATTTTCTGTGCAATTCTTAAAGAGAAAGGATCAATCTAAATTCAGGGCCAGATCAAAGTCATAAATTTCCCTATTCTGTCCCCATGACTGAATTCACTCACAATTCAAACACACACATATAGAAATCCATACAAAGCCATGCCCTGTCTTTTTTGTAAGGAAAAATTAGAACTGTGCAGTGGAATGTGTGATATCCATCTATTGTTAAATAGTGGATATTGGTGCAACAGATGTCTGAATTTTCATTGTGGCGGTTTGGGCAAAAAAAAAAAAAAATGCTTTGAATGACATTTCATAATTTTTGAAACACCAGCTGGTAGATCATAAATAAGTAAATGAAAAATCAATAAATATGCATTGGCTGCTGCTTGTAAGTTTCAAAGGAAATAAAAGCCCCAAAACAAATATTTCTTGTAAGATTGGTGAAGCATTTATGCCAACCACTTCTACAGCAATTTTTTTCTCTAACACCAACATATAGAAAGTTCCAAACCAAAGAACTCAGTATAGGTCATCCTCAACTTATGACCACAATTCATCACTAAGCAGTGCAGTCATTAAGTGAGGCATCACATGATCGCACCTGATTTTACAACCTTTTTTGCTGGCGTCATTAAGCAAATCATGCAGCTGTTAAGTGAATCCAGCTTCCCCCATTGACTTTGCTTGTTGGAAGCCTGAAAGCCTGGGAAGGTCGCAAATGGCGATCGTGTGACCTTGGGATGCTGCAGCCATTGTTGCATGCCAGTTGCCAAGTGCCTGAATTTTGATCACATGACTGTGGGGATACTGCAATGGTTGTTAAGAGCAAGGACCAGTCGTAAGTCACTTTTTTCAGTACCATTGTAACTTTTGAATGGTCACAAAATGAATGGTTGTAATTCGAGGACTACTTGTAACTGTTTAATCACAATGGGCAATGTTATTTAATTTCTGATGCAGGTTTGCAATAAAGATAACTAGGCGCTGCCCCTAAAAAAGAAATGGGCATGCACTTTGCTTGCCAGTTCTATATGCTTTTTGCTCATTGCAGATTCCCCCAATAAGCACAGCTATAGTCCTTCCCTCAAATATAAAATAATACTTGGAAGAAAACCCAGTGCTCTTTTACATGTATACAAATACTGATGAATCATATCCACCTATTGGATAGAGTGATGAAATCTGAGCAGCTTATTGGCTGCCTGGCTTTGGGGGAGGGGTTGGCTTCATCAGCTATCTTTTTTTTCTTCTTGTTATATTTTGTTTTATTTTAACTTTTATCTATAAGATGCACAGACTTGCTATGGAGTCAGGCATCCTCAAAATTGAAATAATAATGGGGGGGGGGGGAAATATGGCTTTATTTTGTTCCGTTGCATTTTCAGCATGCTCAGTGGCATACAGTATGTTAAATCTAAGAGGGCAAAGAAAATGATGCTTTATCATTCATGCTGTGGCTTGAAAACAGCTATTATTCATTATACATGCATTTACATTAATATTATTGACATTTACAATATAAATTTTGTAGCCCACATTTTGACTTGTCCCATTCTGGGACAAGTAAAAAAGGAAGCTTAAGGTCCTTTCTGTGGCCTCTTTTGAAATCTAATTTTGATTTTATACTGAGTGCTTCAAATTACCTGACAATAACAAATTCTGTCTGATAATTTAAGTTTCTGGTACTTTGCTTGTTGCTCAGATCTATAAGCACTATGTTAAAATATTTAATTATGTGGGAATTCAATCTGAAAAAGTAAGTCTTCATCTTCTTGAGGCCTTACTATAAATAACACTCGTTTCTATATGTTGGGTAATTTCCTCAATAATTGTTTCATTATTTCAATTAATTAATTGAAATATATCTGCTGTCCATTCTCATTTTGTGGCTCTAGGCAGCTTAGAGACATTTAGAGTTCATTTTAACTTTTGGCATAACAATTAAAACTATTTAAAAAACCATCAACATAAACAGGCTTGGGTAAAAAGTATGTTTTAACTCACCCCCTAAACTGTAATAAGTTATGTAATGGTATGTGGGAATGTGTAATGGCCTGTAATGGTATGTGGGAAAGACCTTGGGAGATGGAGCGAAGAGATGCTGCCTAGGAAATGGTCAAATAAGAGCGGGCACAGCCCACAGCTGCATAGTGGGAAGAGCAAGAGGCTGTAAAGAAGACGGTGGGAGATTTGTACGTTCAGACTTGCAAGATTCTGTTCATGTAACCTTACAATAAAGTAGAGTAAGCTTATCTGGTTGTGTTTTCTGTCTGGTCTACTGGGAAGGCTGACAGAAATCTTACAGGGAGGGTTCCTTCTGAGCCTCTTGCTCTGCCCACTATACAGCTATGGGGTGTGCCCTCTCTTACTTGACCATTTCCTAGGCAGCATCTCTTTACCCCGTCTCCCAAGGTCTTTCCCACATACCATTACAGGGCCACACTCAACTTCAGCTGGAAATTGTTCCAAGAATAGGCCCTCCATAGCAAAAGCAAAATGAGCTCTTGATATTAAAGGTATCTGCTCAAAACAAGCATGTTCTGATATTCTAATGAAAATCTATCTAGATGTGATGCCCTATTATTGCATCATTATTTATTCTACAAGTCTATTCCCAAATCAGTCAAATTGGTAAAAGCAGCAGACAGAGAACCTTATAATAATCAAAAGATCAAAAAGTGGGGAAAAAGTGGTGCTGCCGAACCAGGTGGCCTCCAGATGTACTTCATCCCCTTTTCCAACCAGTTTGGAAAAATACTGAAACAAGTAGCTGCAAAACAAGTAAATTCTGAATTTTTATAAATGATAAATAAACCACTTACTTGTTCTTCAAAATTCATGTTTTCCAGAAACTTGTGGTTCATAGTCTCAGAAAACTTGTTGATGGCTCTCAGAAATACTCTAAAGAAAAACAAGATGAAATTCAGGTCCAGTATTTCTGAATTTTATCCCATTAGCTGGCATCAAAGCAAAACTAAATGATGAATGATAACTTTTTTTGTTTATACAAATTACGTGTATGGACACCCACATTGGAAATAGTGGCTCTGGGAGACCTAACTAGTGTTAAAAAGATAAAAAACAGAATAACCAATACAAAGCACACAATAGCACACCACAGTATGGCATAACTGAGGCCAAGCCACCACATATTTCACTTCCAAAGCCATGGCAGGACAGGCTTATCCAACTTCCTGGCCCAACGCCCAGGAAAAAGCCAGGTTTTCAAGGTATTATAGGAAGCCAACATGGTTGCACCCATCCAAATCTTGGGGAATATGCTATTCCAAAGGGCAGGTGATGTGCTAGAGACTCAGACTTAGAATACAAATTGCTCTCAACAGTCTATAATAAATGGTACATTTTATACAAGGACATATTCCTTTCAATTTCTGATTTGAAATATATTCTAATTAATATTCACCACAGCAAATAGGCTGTCTTTTGGTGTGCTGCATAACTACAGTTTGTTCTTGTGAATATAGCATAATAAATCTTTCACATGCTTCCCATGACATAGTTATATGCTTACTTTTAAAAGACTAAGGGCTTTTTTTAATTGATCAGCCAAACAGAAGTATTAACTTCTTTAATTATTTAGATTGAGTCTCAGCTCATTAGAATTAGCCTCCTACGTAGTGCCTAGCAATATGAAAAACCCACAGCTATTAAATTATATTTATTTGCCAATTATTTTCCATTAGCTATACAGGATATGATTTGAATTAACAAAACCACTCTTGGTTCAAGAACTAACAAGTAAGTAACACTGTTTCCCATAATTAAACAAAAAGGCAGATGAGAATAAGAACCAGAGGCAAATCTTTCTAATGTCCTGTTCTTCCTGACATTAAGGCAATACATTTCTGTTGTTGTTTAGTCGTTAAGTCGTGTCCGACTCTTCGTGACCCCATGAACCATATTG